TAGTACTAATAAAAACACGTGCTGAGCCCTCAGATTCATGGACTCAAAGAAGGACCTGGAAGAGGGCGTAAAGGTTAGGTCCCTTGGGACAAGTCCTGGAGACAAACAACTAGCTCTTCATTTCAGGTCTTCTAATTGTTTCGTCTCAAGACAGCTCTGAATTTGCTTATGTTAGCTGAGTTCCCAGGAAGCAGGAACAGTGACCGAGCCGTACATGGGGAGAAGATGATTTTTATCCCAGAAAAAAGCCAAGGGAAGCACAAGATGGTTTCATCCCTTTCCTGGCCCACATTTCTGATTGAGATAGAGAGCTTTCCTCTGACACCTGCAGGTCCCTCAGACCCCTGCACCGTCTGGACTGATCCTGGCTGGATGTCGCATGGCCAGGCTCATGGTGCAGCCTGGGGACTGCTGGCTAATGCCCGCTGAAAAGTAGAGTTGGCACCTAGGTAAGGGACAATTGGCAGTGAGGGTGGAGAAAAGGCTGCCTGCACGTCAGTGGGAGAAAGGCCAGACCCCAAGGAGGGAGTTGGGAACAATGCAAGAAAAAAAAAAAAACACACAAAAAACCTTGTTTCACATGAGAGAAACAAGGAGATGTACCTAGAAGAGCCGTCATCCCTCAGCAGGGCTGGACCAGGGTTGCAGGCAGGGCATTGATCCCTTACAAACAGGAGGGCGGGCAGGCACCGTTCCTGACTGGATGCTGCATCTAGCTCCAGGCAGGCAGTAGGGGACAGGCTGCTGATTGCCCTTGCTTCTTGCTCAAAGTTTCACAGAATTTCTCACTTGCAGCCATTTCTCCAGCATCTGAGGGAGTGGGGGGTTGTTTCCTCTCTAAACTTGCTGTAGATAATACAAACACAGTCTGCTTCCCTGCATCCAGGGTCCAGATCCTCGTTAGATGCAAATCTCCACAATTATAAATCTGCACACAGCACCAGTTGCGGTAGCATTAGGTTAATCCAGCCTCCAGTGCTTTGCAGTCCTCTGCCCACAAGTCCCATGGGCATCAAGAGCCATGTCGCTAAGTAGCTGTTTTGTCTCGCACAAAGGAAAAAAAGCTTCTGCAGCTGAAGCAATCTTCAAGCCTATTTTACTTGCAGAAATTAGGGGATAATAGATGACCCATTTCCCTGGAAATAAACCTGGCATTTTCTCAGCTGCTGCACAAGTATCTGAGAGCTCGGTGTCCTGTGTATCATGCCCCCCCCCGCCCCACTGCCCCCAAAAGAAACCGAGCTTAGCAGAGCTCCAAAAAACACCCCTAAGTGTCAGATAATTCAGAGTAAAGCATTTACCCCCATCTCCTTGTCCCTTTTCTGACAGCAGATATATTTACCTCTAAAGCAATAGAGGAGAAGAAGTAAGCAGCCATTCTGTGCCCTGCCCCAGAGACGGTATTGAGCTGCACAGAAAGACCAAGGAGGCGAGGAGGAGAGCTGTCAGGGTTCACAGCAGGCGTGTGGCATCAGATCTCAAGCTTCAGCACTTACCAAAGAGCTGAGGGCCTGGCTGCAGCATTAGGGGCTACGTCCACCAGGGCGAGGCTTCTACAGACATATCCCTACGAGAGGCATTTTTATAGGCAAGAGAACAACTTAAACACAGGAGGCCCACAGTCACCCTGGCAGGTACAGTAATGAGGGCAAAAGGAAGCAGCAAAAACACAGGAAAGGAAAGAAAAACAAGCCAGCAAAGGAGGGAGGGAGGGCTCTGGCACAGGACGGGAGGCAGGAGGGTTTAAGCACATTCAGCCAGAGGCAGTCCAGTCTGGAGAATCAATTATGGGAGGATAATTTGTCTGCTTGATTAAAGCCTCCTTGGGGTATTGGCTTGTTGCTGGGGAGAGCAGCAGAAGGTACCTGCTCTGGTCAGAGCACAATCCATGACTTATTACTGCAGTCCCTGCATAGCAGTCAACAGGAGAGGAGGCTTAACGGGCCGAGGCAGACAAGCCCATCACTTTTGTCCTGACGACATTTCCCCTCACTTACCGCTGTCTGCACTCAGAGCCAAGTCACCCTAAAAGGGGACCCCAAGAGCCATTCAAACTGCTGACACAGCCAGAAAACCGGCACCTGAGTGCTGAGGCCCCGCCGAGGGAGCGGTGCTGGCTCAGACGTGCCCTCCAGTGGTCCCCACTCCAGCCTGGTTCCCATCCCCGTACCAAACTGGGAGCACTAAAGCTTGTTCCCTGTAGCCTCACAATAGGAAGGTCAGAGGAGGCTTTGCACAGACTCAGACAAGGCTTGGGGCTGGGGGGTGTCCCTATGCTTATGTCTCCTTTCTGTGCCCCCCCACCCCGGATCTGCCATGGGTTGACAGCATTGGGGAAGAGACTTTCCAGGAGCCACAGGCTGCGTTTGCACAAAATAGGCACTGAAGTAATGACAGGCTTGCTTCTGTGCTTGTTCATCCTGTGTTCCCCCACACCCCCAACGAAGTCTTACTCTAAACCAATACAGGCCAGAGCAGGCTTCTGTCTCATCTCTTGTACCAGCCTTTACTGCATATAGGGGACTGTTTCCCCTATGCAGTCAGGTTTTTACACTCAAGATTCATTTCTCCCTGCTTAATCTGACCAATATGAATGCACACCTCCACTGTGCATTTGATGCTTGGTTTTGCTAGAACAATGAGCACTCTATATCAAACACCCACATAAAACACCTAGCAAGCTAAACATTGTGCCAGAGGAGACTTAAAATTCTTCCAGCTTTGAGCCCAGGTGCTGATAGATTTTATATGAGTCGAACCTTCTTTTGCGGTAGATTGTGCTCCATCACTGCCAGTGGTTGGTGACAAGCTATACAAAAAAGCACACATTGTTTTTCCAGGAGAGTTGAAGAAATAGAGCTCCCAGGCAGCCTGGGCTGATACCAAGCATCCCTTGGATTAGCAGGAAAAGGAAGGATAGCCCAGTGCCATCCAGGCTGCAGCATGCACAGTTCACAACTCCTGCTGCTACTGCAGCAGCTAAGAGAACTGCACCGTTGCTACAAGCGATGTGGCTCATTAATTCTTCACAATCCTGTCTCTGGGGCCGTGATATTGGAGAGATATCAAGTGAAGGCCCCTTGGAGAACTCACTTGTGTGCTTTCAGACCAATTATAATTCACCAGTACATCAGTCTCTGCTGTTTGACAGTACAGACAAGCACTGCTCCCCTTGTCCCTCCTGTGATCCACTGAGGAGTAGTCTGGGTCATGTAAAGTATAAACATTTAGTAAGTAATACGTAAGGCTCTTCTAAACCTTTAGGTCTAAATATAAGTTACTCCGTACTGTTATTACCTCTCTACCACGAGAGCTCATTAGCTGAAATGCATGCTTGCAGATACAGCCTCAGCCTTGCACAGTGAATTCCCACGAGAAGCACAAGGACGCCCAGAAGTAGCCTGAACAAAGTGCTGCTAAACCCAGAGCAGGAATTTGTGGGCTCGAGAACTGACAGGGCAGGGCACGAGGTCTTTCCACCTCACGCTCCTACAAGGAAGCACAGCTACAGGTTTGCCCGGGTTGAGTGTGTCCATGAAGGGCTGTTGCCTGCACTGATGCATTTATTCACTTGTGTCATCACATGCTCATAGGGGATTATTAAGGACAAATTTCCAGGATGCCATGAACTGCATATGTAAAGCAAAGCTATAGAGGCAGCGGCACATCCTCGCCACAGCTACAGAAGGACCTGGCAACACTAAGGCTCGTCGGGACATTCTCACCTGCCACGGGAGCTCCTGCGGTGCTGCAGCCTCCTCCGAGGAAATTGCATGTCCCCATGTACCCATTGCTTTCAGGGACTGGCTGTGCCACAGGTGTGCAGGACACTACAGAGAGCCAGATAGGAAGAGTGGGGACCTTCGAATTGGTGGTTAATTTTTAACCCACCCTGCTCCTCCCAAGCTCAACAAGGCACTTATAGACCCACTGAGCACATGATTAATGACACTAGTGGGGGCCCTACTAGGGCTCCCATATCCATAAAGCTAGATGTGTCTGAAATGACAGCAAGACTAATGCAATTTACACTAAGGGATAAGGTTCTCCTATGTTACACCAACACACATTTCTACTCAGTCGTGCAACATATCCCCACCAGCTCCTATAGCCCCACAGCTCCCACTTCTCACAGCACTCTAACAAATCCACAGTCCGTCATAAAACTCCACATCCCACTCCCTTTGCATACCCAACAGCCCCGCAGCACAGCTTTGCCTGCTGTACAGCTTGCCTACCTCCTCCTCACTCCACTTGCCAGGCAGACAGCAAAAGAAATGACTGAAACCATCTCTCTAGATTTCTTTTAGCACCCTTATGCCCTCCCCGCCTCCTCACAGCTGCAGCAGATCCCAGATGATCTGCTGACCACAGAGACCCAAATAGGCAGCCACTGGTGCTGCTTACTGACTAAGTGCTGCTTGGGAAGGCTTTTAAAGGGACATGCAGTAAATCCACTCCTGGAGTGCAGTTTGCCTACAGATTGTTTACCTGATAAAATATCCATTTCTTAGCCTTTTAACACTGCTGTCCTCTGCAGTAGCCCTGCAGCACAGTCTGTTTGCAACAGACCTTGGCATTCACCTGGAGAGGCGGCACACAAACAGCACCTACACACTGCAAACCAGTGCACTTGGAAAGTTTTCTTGCCATAGTTATTTTTGCTTTCTGTGCAGGAGCGTCTCTACAGGCACATACAGAGAAACCCTTTGAAATGTGCTAGTGGAAGACACTTTAGCATCCTATGTTTAGCCAGTTCTGGCAAAGTTTATGTGTATGTGCTGAGAATATAGAGAAAAGCCCCAGGACACAGTCTGCCCTGAGGCATGGTGCAAACCTTGTGCTTGTTTCCCCAGTGAGCTCCATTAACCCTTTGCTTAACGTTCTAGCCCATGTTCTTAAGGAGTTCTCCCCTGTCCCAAGTGCTCTCTCACTTGGGTGAGAGATGGATGAGAGTGGTCCCCTTAATGATCTCTGTCTCTACCCCTTTCCATCATTAGTCTGAAGACCAGCCTGCAGAAGAAGGTGAGCCAGGACTCCATGGATTTGTCAGGGATCCCCCTGACCATGCGGGATGTCCACCGCATGGCCTACTACCTGCAGAACAACGGGGACCACCTCACCTCTGTGGACCTGAGCTTCACTGAGCTGAATGATGACATGGTGCGCCTGCTGCTGCCCTTCCTCTGGGCGCTACCCAAGCTCACTCACCTTTCCCTCAATGGCAACCGACTGACACGGGCAACCATGAAAGAGCTGACTGACACCATGAAGGACATGAACAAGTTCCCTTGCCTGGCCTGGGTTGACCTCGGCAACAACGTGGACGTCTCCTCCATGCCGCAGCCGTTGCTCGTGGGCCTGCGCAAGCGCCTCAGCCAGCAGACCACGCTGCCTACCATCTATGAGGCGCTTGACTGCGACTCGGAGATCTCCGGCGGGCACGAGGGCAGCCAGCCAGAGGATGAAGCAGCAGGAAGCACCCCGCCACGTGCTTTTTCTCAGCAGGGCTGCGAGAGGTGACTGGACAACAGGCCGGCGCTGGCACACTGAAGCCGCCCCGAGGAGAAGTCTTGAGTACAAACATCAAGCAGAGGGCCAGCTTTACCGGCTTCCTTTGGCTCTTTTCTCTCGCCTTCCCTGACATCTCCCCCCCACTTGCTGTGAGACAAAAGCCTGTTGTCCCCCCACAACGTGCTCCACTCCCTCCCCTCACTGCCAAACCCATCGCCCACGTTCCAGAGAGGAACCAGTGACTTACAGTGAACCTGGTCCCCAGGCAGGGTCTCACTGGAAGACTGGAAAAGACCTGTCGGAGTCAAGAATATCCTCCAGCAGCCATTGGGTTGAGGGAGAGGGATGGGGGGGGAACCTAAAACAGAAACAGGCTTGTAGTTTACTTCCTTTCTTCCTTTTCCTATGCACCTTGGAAACCTTGGGACCTGCAGCCTTGAGTATGAAAGGAGGTACCCCAAGAGCCTAGCTGCTGTGGAGCTTAGTTGAAGGGCTCAGAGGCCAGAGCCGGAGCCCGGCAGTGTGTCTCCCTCTTGTGTCTGGCTCCTTTTGTTTTGTTTTTTTCCTATTGTGTCTTTTGTATTAACGTCTGAACAAAGGGACTTGGTCAGAGACCATTGGATTGCATAGGCTGGGGCGGACACATGGCTTGGAACTGCAGCATCAGGATATTTGCTGTGTGACCGGGGTGAGAGGGAGGGGAAGGAGGTATGTGTTGGTGGGAGCATGGGGGATGGGATGAGTTGGGATGGGATGGGATGGGAGGAGGGGGGAGGAGAGGGAGGGGAAACAGTCTTGTGGATTAGAGGAATGGTTTCAAAAACTGTGCTTTTGTACTACGATTACAAGTTCCAAGTGAAATTGAGGAAAATCAGACAGCTAAGCGCATAACTGTGGCTCTAGAGGAGCAAGCAGTGAACGTGCCAGAGGTGGGCACTTCCCAAACTAAAGCGCAAAGCTTTGGCTCCTCATGGCATATTTCATACCTCGTAATACAGACATGACGTGAGCAGCCGCATCGCCATTTCCAATGCTGTCCAAAAACCAAACCACTGATGCAATATTTCTAGTGTTTTCCACGTTGCTCATGCTCTATGTAATCATAATAAACAGTTCTCTTGGACATGAGCGCGAAGCACTACAGAGTCTGAGTATCTGGGTTGTTCACAAATCGAGCCAGCAGCCCAGACACTGCGAGAATATGGACCAGGAGTCCTCATGCAGTGCCTGAGCAGTGTGGGAGAGGATCAGCACGGACCGTTCACATTGGTGAGAGTGGTTCATTCCTCTAAGGAAAGTGAAACATGGATGTTCATTTGTGGTAGGCTGCCGCCCTTCGTGTTGCAAGGTGCTGATACGAATAAACCGATGCGACTTTAGATGCTAAGTCAAGTCCTCTCAATTATCTGTCCCTACAGGAATTCAGAGAGCAGATATGTTTTTGAAAGAGTTAAAGAAATCAGACATATTAAAGAACCCATATAAATCGAGGTCCTCTTAAATTAACAACGGTAACTTTGCATTCCTCTGCTGATTCTCTCTGGGAGTCTCAACACATACAAGCAACTGTCATATACTAAGCCACACAAATCCACATGAAGTAGATACACCTTTCATGCTCCCTGTTGATTTTACAAGACTGCAAGAAGAAAATCGGTGATATTTTTCAAGTGATTTATCCCCTTTGGACCAAGAGTGTGAGCGCACTGGAAGGTATTGGTGTCTCTGAATAACCGTGAAAAGCCCCAAATAAATCCAGTCCCGAGGAAGAAAGCCGGGTTTAGAGACACCGTGCTGAGTATTACAACCTGACACTGCACGTGCTGGACGCAGTCCTGTTCACACTCTGGTCACTGGAGCAGGACCTCATAATGTTCATGTTGTTACCTTGCAGACAGAAGTGTTGTAAAGGCTTTGTCCTGCTGGCTGAAAAGAGCAGAAGATACAAGGTAAAGCCAAATACAGCTAGGGCCACGTGCTAGCTGCCCCATCCCAGTGGAGGTGGAAGAGAAAAGGCCCTGAGATAGCCAGAATATGATCTTTGGCCAGGAGGGCCAGGAATGGGGTGTGCAAATATAGCCAGACGCCAGCACAACACACGGTGGGAAGGGAGCATGTGCTCCCCTGCACAGTTGTCACCCAAACCCACTTTGTAGCCCTTCTAGTGGATCTGGAGAAGTGGAGTAATACCTATGGCAAAGCCTGTATGTGGGGAGCATGAGATAGATGGTTTTGCAAAAGGCAGAACAGAGCTGCTCAAGCAGCCGTTCCCATTACTGGGGAAAGGGCCGTGCTGCTTCCAGAGGTCACCACCTGCCTCTCTTCTCACAACTCATTTTTCCCTTGTCAGCATGATATCTTATAGAATCATAGAACTGTTTAAGTTGGAAA